ATTACTGACTTATTTAAAGGATGCAACTCAGTAACAGTTAAATGGAAGACATGCATAGAGCAAGTATGGAGGAGGGAGCATGTATGGAATTTCCATGCCCTGTCTCTGCACACATTCTCCCAACACCTCGATATGTTCAAAAGCCTACAGTTCTAAAACCCCATAGTTTAAGGTTTTTTTATGGAGGTTTCATCACTTTGGGATGATTCATTATTAATTCAATCTCCAGCCCTTCTCAGATTCCAGGAGGTTGTGGAAATGGGGCTAGAGGCTTCTATTAATAATCAAGGATTGATCTTTCTGACAACCAGCCCTTAACCTGAAGCGATCTAGGAATCTACCAAGAGTTAACTCATTAAAACAAAAAATGTTCCTATCACCCTTATCAGTTAGGAAATTCCAAAGTACTATGGTAGATGTTTGTCCCCTCCAGCCCTTATGTTGAAATTTGTTCCCGAATGTTAGAAGTGGGGACTGATGGAGAGGTCTTTGGGTCATGGGGGCAGATCCCTCATGAATAGATTAATGTCTTCCCTTGGGGGTGAGTCGGTTCTCACTCTATTAATTCCCCTGCAAGCTGGTCATCAAAAAGAGCCTGGCAGCTCCTCCACCCTTGATTCTTCTCTTGCCACGTATTAATAATCGTTGCACACACTGGTTCCTGTTCACCTTCTGCCATGAGTGGAAGCCACCCAAGGCTTTCGTCAGATGCAGATGCCCAATCTTGAACTTTCCAGTCATAATTGTGAGTCAAATCATTTTCTAAATAAATTACCCAGCCTAAAGTATTCCTTTATAGCAACACAAAATAGACTAAAAAGACAAGGGTTTTAGGAGCTTTGTACCAAGAACCAGGAACAAAGAAAAAATACCTTTTATGATACCATACTACCTGATTTAATATTTATTATAGAGTGTAGTAATCAGGACAATATGATATAACCTAAAGCTAAACATATAGATCCATGGAATAAAGTGTCCAGAAATAGCATGACACATATCTATTGATTTTGGAAGAAGTGCCAGGGCAATTTATTGGAGAAGGATAATCTTTTCACCAAATAGTGAGGAACAATTTGATATCATCATGCAAAAAAAAAAAAAAAAAGAAAAACTTCAAATTTTACCTCGTGCCATACACAAAAATTATTAATAAGTCAATATGAACCATAGGCTTGAATATAAGAGATAAAACTACAAAATGTCTAGAAGAAAACATAAGAGAAAGGCTCAGTGATGTTGGGTTTGGCAATAATTTCTTTAATAGAACACAAATATTTGGTGTATTTCATCAAAAATTTTTTTAAAAATTTGCTCCTCAAAATACACTGTTATGAAAACAAAGATTAGGTGTCCTTGCTAATACCTTTTGGGCATTTGGGTTGTCACAGATTGTGAGAAAATATTTGAAAACACATCTGGCAATGTATTTAAATTTGCATTATATATACACCACCCATTGGAATGGCTAAATCTAAACAGACTGACCATACCATGTTGTTGTAGTAGTTCCATCTAACTCAGACTCTCAGTGGGAGAGTATGTAAAATGATACAACCAATTAGGAAAATAGTTTATTGTTTCTTAAAAGGTTAACCCTATCCCTACCATATAATCCAGCCATTTAATTGCTAGATATTTATCCAGGAGAAATAAATGTATAGGTCTGCTGGAAAACTGGAAGTAACCCAAAGGCCTATCAATTAGATGAATCAATAAACAAAGTATGGTTTACTACTACAATGGAATACCTATTCAGCAATAAAAAGGGAAGAACTATTGATATATACATCAACATGGATGAATCTCAACGTAATTATGCTAACTGAAAGAAGTGAGAATATATTAAATGATAATTCTATTTATATAAAGTTCTTGAGAATCAAACTAATGTTTAGTGATAGAAAGCAGATCAGTGGTTGCCTAGGAATGGAGATGTAGGGGTGGAGTGCAAAACATCAGGAGGAAGTTTTGGTGGATAATGGCTATGTTGCTTGCCTTAATTATGGCAATGGCTTCATGAGCATATAAGAATGTCAAAATTCATCAAATTGTAAGTTCTAAATATGTCAAGTTTATAGAAATTTTCCTCAAAGCTATAAACAAAGAGAGAAGTGGGGAGAGAGAGGAAGAAGAGGAAGATAAAGAGGAGACAGAGGAGGGGAGGAGATAGAGAAAAAAATATATAATTCTAGTGTAAGGGTAGAAATGGATTAAAGGAGAAAGGCACTAATGCCAATAAGAGAAGTTGACAGTTAATTATTGTCCATGAAAGAGAAGAGGTCATGACCAAATTAGTGGAAATGTCAACTCTCACTATATTGATCAGTAGACTTGATAGTCTGATGTATCTGGCAGTGCATAGGTCCTTTTCCTGCCCATTCTTTGTGCATCACTCATTCACTCTTTTAATAAATATTTATTGAGCATCTACTTTGTGCCAGTTCCTGTTTTAAGCACTGGGATGATGGTGGTTTAGGAGACAGACAAGGTTCCTGTAGCCACAGAGCTTACTTTGTAGTCAAGGGAGGCAGGCAATAAAGAAATAAGCAAAATGAAGATGATTTCAAAGATTGATGTGTTACAAAGGGAATACAATTGGGTAATGTGTAGACAGTAACTCAGGGATGAGGGTGGGTGGTTAATTTATATTTTGATTCAGGGAAGACTGTTATGAGGAATAATAAGCTGAATTGTAAAAGACAAAGACCCAACAGGTAATAACTAGGGGTAGAGAATTTTAAGGCAGAAGGATCAACAATTAAAAATGCCTTTAGGTAGGAGGGAACTAGACATGTTTAATCAACAGAAGGGCTAGAAAAAAAGGAGAGTAGTAGATGAGAAAGGTGGCAGAGTAGATAGGGACTAGGGCATCCATGGCCTTGTAAACCACTTTGAGGGATTGGAATTTTTTTTGTTAATTCAGTGGAAAAACCACTGGAGGATCTTGAGCAGGGAAATAACATAATAAGATTTATGTTTTAGAAAGATTCTTCTGCCTGACATGTGAACTCTAGTTGGGGTTCTGGGGAGAATGGAAACGGAGATGAGTTACAAGTTAGGTCACACTACAAAACTTGTTCAGAAGTGAATTGGGAGTTTTATTCTGGGGGCCCAGCCATCAGACTTGCTGGTAAATAGGTAGTGAGGGGTAATGGAAAGGAAAGTCAAGAATGACTTTCAGGCTTTTGGGCATCCAGGTAGAAAGTGGTATAGTTCATTAAAATCAGAAAGACTAGGAGAGGAATATGTTTGGTATGTAAGTAAAATGATTTTTCCTGAATATGTCTACTTGACATGTCTTTTAGACATCCAAATTGAAATGTCAAATGGGCATTTGAAATGTCAGAGCTAGAGATAAGAACTGAGGCTCATCTGTACGTTTTACTTTTCAGTGAATCCACCTCTCCTGTCTCTACCAGGAAAAGGATAGAGGGGGTTTGCCTTTCTAACATAGTACCTTCTTCCCAATGAATTATTTATTTAAAGAGAATGACCATACTAGATAGAAAAAAGGAGGATGGCAGATGGCCTGCATAGTTATTTTGGTTGGAGGATCTGAAGAATGTGAGGAACAGTTAGATGTAGATAATAAAGTGAAGGGACGAATCAGTGGCTCCCAAGGTGGTATCATTGACTAAGTTTAGGAATATAGAGATGTGGTAATTTAAACTTTTGGTCCCTATTTTTTATTGCTCTGTATATCCACACCCTTTGCCATATCATTACAATGCTCAGTGCTCTCCCATAATGGTGGCCACACTTCCACCCTGTGACTCTGAGTTTGATCACGTGACTTGCTGAGGTGTTAGCAGATGTGATTCAAGTAAAAGCTTTTAAAAACTCTTACATAATTGAACTTCCACTCTTCTGCATCTTCCATTATTATGAGAAGGACATGTCTGGGCTGGCCCACTGGAGGAGAAGATATACATAAAGCAAAGCCAAGACATCCCCATCTTCCCAGTTAAAGCCAACCTGTATCATCTTATAACCAGCCAACTCCCAGACATTTGAGCAAACCCAACCAAGATCAGCAGAACCACCTAGCCAACCCCAGCTGCTCCTAGTCATGTCAGTAATAAACACTTATTTGTTGTTGTATGCCACTGAGGTGTGGTTCTGGCAATAGATAACTGGTACAAGAGGGAATATATTAGGGTCTGGGGAAGGATTAATCTAGTTTTCAAACATGATGAATTTGGGATGGCCAGTGCCAGCTGGGTATAGAACTCAACAGCCACTTATATTCTGTGAATCATCAGCAGATAACATAGCTCAAGATGTGAACATAGATGAAATTATCCAAGGAGTATATATACAATGAAAAGAGGAAATTATGAAGACTGAACTCTGAGGAAAATGTATATTTGAAATAACTATTGAGATTGAGGAGGAATGCTCAGAGATATCTAAGGAGAATCAGAAAAGAGTGGTGGAATGGAAACTGGGCTTTATAAGAAGGCACTGGCTAGCAATGCCAAGTTCCACCCAGGGAGGCAAACTAGGTATCTTTATACTCATTTTACAAATGAAGAAACTGAAGATTGGATGGGGTAATTAAGTTTGTTATGCATGATCATACATGCTAGTAAATAGTAAGGGCACTAGAACCTAGATTTTTGATTCTTAACTCAGGGCTCTATCATGTTTATCATATTGTCTTTCTTGATTGTGTACTTCTGATGTCTATAACTATTAAAATGTTTATCAAATATCTTTTATATATAAATTATTAAGATAAAATGATGCAGTTTTAATATTTAGAATTAGATGAACATTAAAATATAAGAAATCTATAATTCTCAGATCCTTCTGAGATTATAAATGATTGTGTTACTTTACTACATGTTTTCTTCCATAATGTATCAGTTTTTTAACTGATAGATATATATTTTATGTTAAGTGATTTTTCTACATGCATTATGAATCAAAACAATGACTTTCCTCTCATGTTTAATATCATGAATTAATAATGATACTATTAAAATATATTACAGAATGAACTTCTTGAGCTTGAAAAACAAATAGCAGCTGTCTATGCAGAAAATAAAGAAACAAAAAGACAAGTTTATCTTCAAGATGTTGCAATAGAGAACAGCAAACTTCAGTGTGAAAACCTGGAAACTCAAATCAAATCCTTACATTCAGAAAATGTGAAGCTTAAATTTGACATAGAAATGGCCCAAGAAGATTTTGAGGAACACAAGATAAAATATAATGCATACTATGTAAAAATAAAAGCACATAAAGATAGTTTGGGGGAGGTAGAAAGTAAATGGTCATTTATGACTGAACTCCATGAAAAACAAGATCTTGTTAAAAAACTAAAAACAATGAAAAATGAACTTGTGAAAGATCTCCAAAATCCAGGAGGGAACCGAATAACACAAGTACAGGTTTGAATTATTACTTAGCAAAATTTTCTATTACTTCTTTTTTGTAAGTACATTAAATGATAAATTCATTAAATGAATAAAAATACTCATAGCTATTCTACTACATTCAGAATTGTTTTAACAATTTTTGAAAAGTTGGATAAGTACATGTCTTATATAACACTATCTGAAATATGCAAATACATTAAGGAAACATCCACAAATCCCCTGTGGATTTATGAAAATATATGGTCAAACAAAATCACAGTGAACAATTGATTCATTTGTTACAGAAAGTGTAATTCACAAAAATGTTGAAGCCTTAGCTTCTATGCTAATGGATCCAGACCAATTCAAATCAATTTAGTATGCTTAATGCTTTATGCAAATAATATGAATTAATAGTTACATCTTAAGCATCTATTTCTTTATGTTTGGAAGACAGTGGAAGATACAAACTTAAAATATAGATCATTTCTTGCTAGAGAATTAAAAAGTATTCTTTACACTGTTGTTGGGCAAGTGCCACCATAACTATCACTTTCCTTTATGTCTTATTTTCATTTGGTTTTTAGTTATATGTTGTCAAATCTAAGGGAGGTTTGTTTGAATAACGGTTTATTCTGTAAACACATAGAAGTAATATCCTAATCCTATTTATCAAAATTAAATTTTGATTTGGCTGGTTTTCTTAAATTGTAGAAACACTGAAAATCTTGAATTTATATTGTCTATTCCTTTTTTGACTTGTATATTTCAAATTTTATAAACATACAGGAAGACATTGCAAAGTTAAAGGATAAAATTATAGCTGTAAAAGAATCTATCATTGAAAAAACTTGTTTTCTTGAGGAAACAAAAAGGACACATGAAAAACTAAGAAAAGAAATAGAGGTAAGTCTTAATAATCTAGATTTTGTTTTATGGGACCATTTCTGAAACTTATAGTAATATTTCTGTAGTTTACTTTCAGTACTCAAAACAGCTAAAGAACAAGAAAGAACTACAAAGTTTAATAGATAAATACAAGTCATTAATAGATAAGCAGAAATAACCTCATTCAAAGATATTCAAATATGTGAATGTATTCAAATAATACAAGCACTCACTCCTATTTAAATCTGGCATAGAATTTTTCTAGCTTTCATCTGACCAACAATTAGGTATCCAATTAATGGCCAGAAAGCAGAGATTATCTAGTAAAAAAGGGATGCCCATTCCTAGACATCAGAGACTCTTCAAAATAGAGTAACAGACAATGGATATCATTGCCTGTCTTTATATATTTTGGAAGAAGGGAACTAAAGAGAAGAGAATAAAGGTAAGCTATAATTCATTGACCAAAAAGTTGGCAAAATACAAAGCATACAAACACAAAGCTTCAAATATAATGCATTAAGCAACAATCTGATTTTAGTTCAAGCCAAAAAAAAAAATGTGTTATTTGCCAAGTCCAAGAATTTGTAGGCAAGGGATACTGGAGCAGTTAAGTTTTCAGCAAATGATGAATGCAGTAAACTATGTTTTGTGTAACATTGTGTAAAGTTTACTGTTGCCTAAATTTTGTACAATCTGAGCTCAAAATTTAAAACGATAGGGAAAACATTGGTGCACTTTCAGACCCACTAGGGTGTCATGAACAAAGCATGTTTAACTTGGTACAATATAACATGTAGCTACACAATTAACAAATGCATTCATTTATTGAAGTCAGCAACAGAAATGATTACACAAGAAAAACCCAGAGAAGCAAAGGGGAAAAGGTAAACTAAAGGCAGGAAAAGAAGTATTCAGGTAGAAGGATTGCTGGATCATATGGTAGTCCTATTTTTAGGTTTTTGAGAAATCTCCATCCTGTTTTCCATAGTGGCTATACTAATTTACATTCATACCAACAGTGTATGAGTTCCCTTTTCTCTGTAGCTTTACCAACATCTATTATTATTTGCCTTTTTAATAATAGACATTCTAACTGGGATAAGATGATATATGATTGTGGTTTTGATTTGCATTTCCTTGATAATTAGTAATGTTGAGTATTTTTTCATATACCCATTTTGAAAAATGTCTATTCTGTCCTTTGCCCACCTTTTAATGGGATTTTTCAGTGCTTTGCTGTTGAGATATTTGAGGTCCTTGTATATTCTGGGTATTAGTTCCATGTCAGATGAATATCTTGAAAATATTTTCTCTCATTCAACAGGTTGTCTCTTCACTCTGTTGTTTCCTTTGCTATGCAGAAGCCTTTTATTTTAATATAGTCCCATTTGCCTATTTTTATATTTGTTTACTATGATTTTGAGATCTTGGCTATAAAATCTTTGTGTAGACCAATGTTCTGAAATATTCCCTGTAATTTTTTCTTCTAGTAGTTTTATAATTTGGGGCCTTATGTTTAAATCTAATCAATCTTGAGTTAATTTTCATATTAATATATGATGAGAGATAGGAGTCCAATTTTATTCTTCTGCATATGGATATCCAATTTTCCCAACACCATTTATTGAAGAAGGTGTCTTTTTCCCAATGTGTGTTCTTGGCACCTTTGTCAAAAATTGGTTGGCTGTAAATAAATGGATTTATTTCTGGGTTTGCTCTTCTGTTCCATTGGTCTGGTGTGTCTGTATTTATACCAGTACAATACTGTTGTGGTTACTATAGCCCTGTAGTAAATTTTGAAGTCAGGCAGTGTGATGCCTCCAGCTTTGTTCCTTTTGCTCAGGATTGCTTGGCTATTGAGGCTTTTTTTGATTCCATACAAATTTTAGAATTTTTTAATATTTTTGTAAAAAATGACATTGGTATTTTGATAGGGATTGCATTGAATCTGTAGATTGGTTTGGGTTGCATGGTCATATTAATGATATTAATTCTTCTAGTGCATGAGTATGAGATGTCTTCTCATTTGTTTTTGTCATTTTCAATTTCTTTCATCAACATTTTGTAGTTTTCCTTGTAGAGGCTTTTCACCTGCTTGGTTAAATGTATTCCTAAGTATTTAATTTTATTATAGCTGTTGTAAATGAGATTGCCTTCTTGATTTCTTTCTCAGCTAGTTCGTTATTGGTGTATATAAATGCTAAAAATTTTGTATGTTGATTTTGTAGCCTGAAATTTTACTGAATTTGTTTATCAGATCTAAGAGGTTTTTTAGTGGCATCTTAGGGTTTTCTAGGTATAACATCATAGTATCAGCAAACAGTATCAGCAAAAAGTATCTTCTTTTTCACAGACTTAGAAAAAAACAATTCTAAACTTACTATGGAACCAAAAAAGATCCCAAATAGCCAAAGTAATCCTAAGCAAAAAGAACAAATCTGAAGGCATTATGTTATCTGACTTCAAATTATAGTATAAGGTTATAGTAACCAAAACTGCATAGAAGTAGACACATAGACCAATGGAACAGAATAAAGAACCCAGAAATAAAGCCATATAGCTACAACCAACTTATTTTGACAACGCAGGCAAAAACATACACTGTGAAAAGGATGCCCTATTTAATAAATGGTGCTGGGAAAATTGGATAGCCACATGCAAAAGAATAAAATTGGACCTCTATCTCTCACCATATACAAAATTTAAGTTAAGATGGATTAAAGATTTAAATGTAAGGCCGCGCGGTGGCTCACGCCTGTAATCCTAGCTCTTGGGAGGCCGAGGCGGGCGGATTGCTCAAGGTCAGGAGTTTAAAACCAGCCTGAGCAAGAGCGAGACCCCGTCTCTACTATAAATAGAAAGAAATTAATTGGCCAACTGATATATATATAAAAAATTAGCCAGGCATGGTGGCTCATGCCTGTAGTCCCAGCTACTTGGGAGGCTGAGGCAGAAGGATCGCTCGAGCCCAGGAGTTTGAGGTTGCTGTGAGCTAGGCTGACGCCACGGCACTCACTCTAGCCTGGACAACAAAGCGAGACTCTGTCTCAAAAAAAAAAAAAAAGATTTAAATGTAAGACCTGATACCATAAAAATTCTAGAAGAAAACTTAGGAAAAACTCTTCTGGACATTGGACATTGGCCTAAGCAAAGAAGTTATGTGTAATACTCCAAAAGCAAATACAGCAACAGCAAAAATAAAGAAATGGACTTAATCAAACTAAAGTCTCTGTATAGCAAAGGAAATAATCAACAGAATAAATAGACAACTTGCGAATAGGAGAAAGTATTTGCAAACTACACATCTGACAAAGGGCTAATATCCAGAATCTACAAAGAACTCAAATCAGAAAAAAAAAAAAACAAATAAAACAAACAAACAAAAAACCCCAAATAACCTCATCAAAAAGTGGATAAAGACATAAATCAATTATATTTTAAGTTGTTCTATGTAGTACCAATAAACAACTGGTAAATGAAATGAATAAAACAAAACTTTTTTCATTAACACTAAAGAACATAAAATACTTGCTAATTAATTTTATGAATAAATCTGCAAAACTTGTACAGTAAAAATATTGCTGAGAAATTAAAGACTACTAAATAAATGCAGAGATATACTATGTTTATGGTTTATAAAACTTAATATTTTTACAGAGTCAACTTTACCCCAAAGTGATCTATAGGTTCAACACTGTTCCAGGAAAATGACATTGAGTATTTTTTTTAGAAATTCACAAGCTAATTCTAAAATTTATATGATGAAAATTCAAAGGATCTAGTATAGCCTAAACAATCTTGAGAAAGAAAAAGAAAGTTGTAGGACTTATCCTACCTGATATTAAGATTTATTATAGCTATGGTTATCAAGAAAGTATAGTAATGATAAAAGAATAAATAAATAGACCAATGGTTTAGAATAGAGTTCAGAAATTAATCATATTGTGTCAATTTGACAAAGTTGTCAAGGTAATTCAATGGAGAAAATAAAGTCTTATCAATAAATGTTGCTGAAATAACTGAATGTTGTAAGGAAATGTTGTAAGGAAACAATGTTTATCTCTGCCTCACAACATACACAAAAACTCATTTGAAATTGATCATAGATCTAAATGTAAATGCTAAAATTGTAAAACCTCTAGAAGAAACCATAATAGAATATCTTTATTATGTTGGATTAGGAAATATTTCTTAGGACACAAAATGTACTAACCATAAAGGAAGAATATTGATACATTAGACTTCAAACTATGAAACTTCTATTCTTCGAAAAACACCATTAAGAAAATGAAAAGGCAAGGCAGGCATGGTGGCTTCACACCTGTGATCTTAGCACTTTGGGAAGCTGAGGCAGGAAGATTGCTTGAGGTCAGAAGTTGAAGACCAAGCTGGGCAATGATAGCATTCCACCTGTACAAAAAAAATTTTATAAAAATTAGTTGGGCATGGTGGTGCACATCTGTAGTTCCAGCTATTTGGAAGGCTTAGCCAGGAAGATTGCCTGAGCCCAGAAGTATGAGATTGCAGTGAGCTATGATCATGCCACTGCACATTAGCCTGGACAACAGAGTGAGACCCTGTCTCAAAAACAACAAGATGAAAATATTTTCTCCCATTCTGTAGGTTGTCTATTCTCTTTAATAATTGTTTCCTCGGCTGTGCAGAAGCTTTTTAATTTGATCAGGCCCCATTTATTTTTGTTGTTGCTGTGATTGCTTTTGGGGTCTTTTTCATAAATTCTTTGTCTAGGCCAGTGTCTGTAAGAGTTTTTCCAACATTTTCTTCTAGAATTCTTATGGTTTCATGCCTTTGTTTAAGTCTGTCATCCATCATGAGTTGATTTTTGTGAGAGATGAGAGTGCAGTTAGAATGTGTGAAGAACTCGAGCAAATCAGCAAGAAAAAAATCAAACAACCCCATTAAAAAGTGTGCAAAAGATATGAACAGAAATCTTTCAGAAGAACATAGACCAACAAACATGACCAACAAACATGAAAAAATGCTTAACATCTCTAATCATCAGGGAAATGCAAATCAAAACCACAGTGAGATATCACTTAATTCCATCCAGAATGGCTTTTATCAAAAAGTCCCAAAACAAGGCCAGGCGTGGTGGCTCACGCCTGTAATCCTAGCACTCTGGGAGGCCGAGGTGGGTGGATTGCTTGAGGTCAGGAGTTCGAAACGAGCCCGAGCAAGAGCGAGAACCCGTCTCTACTATAAATAGAAAGAAATTAATTGGCCAACTAATATACATAGAAAAAATTAGCCGGGCATGGTGGTGCATGCCTGTAGTCCCAGGTACTCGGGAGGCTGAGGCAGCAGAATTGCTTGAGCCCAGGAGTTTGAGGTTGCTGTGAGGTAGGCTGAGCCCATGGCACTCACTCTAGCCTGGGCAACAATGCAAGACTTTGTCTCAAAAAAAGAAAAAAAAAAAAGAAAAGAAAATAGTCCCAAAACAACAAATGTTGGCATAGATGTGGAGAGATAGGAGCACTCATCCACTGCTGGTGGGACTGAAAACTAATGCAACCTCTATGGAAAGGAGTATGGAGATACTTCAAAGGACTAAACACAGAACTACCATTTGATCCAGCAATCCCACTACTGGGTATTTACCCAAAGGAAAAAAAGACATTCTATAAAAACAAAAAATCCACCTGCACTTAAATGTTTATTGCAGCACAATTCACAATTGCAAAAATGTGGAAACAACCTAAGTGCCCATCAGTACATGAGTGGATTAATAAAATGTGGTATATGTATACCATGGAGTACTACTCAGCCATAAAAAGTGGTGAACTGATACCTCTTTTATTAATTTGGATAGAACTGGAGACTGACCATTCTTCTAAGTGAAGTGTCACAAGAATGGCAAAACAAACACCACATGTACTCACCATTAAATTGGAGCTAATCGATCAATACTTATGTGCACTTATGGAAATAATATTCATTGAAATCAAGCAGATGAAGGGGAGGAGGGAATTGGTAAATTCACACCTATTGGGTACAATGCACAGTATCTGGGGGAGCAGCACCTTATAACTTTGATGCAAAGTACAGAAGCAATTTATGTAACCAAAACGTTTGTACCCTCATAATATTTGGACATAACAACAACAAATGAATGAAAAGGCACAATCACAGGAGGAGTAAAAATATTTTCAAGACACACATACACACACACAAACACACACAAAAAACTTGTATCCGGAACTTATATGTGAAGAACTCTTAACCACTCAATAGTAAAAGACATACAGCCATTTTTTAAAATGGGCAAAGTATTTGACCGTTTCTCACAAAAGAAGACACAGGATGGCCAATAAGCACGTGAAAAGATACTCAACACTCTCAAAACTGCAATGAGAAACCATTCACACCTTTTAATCTTAGAATGATTAATGTTTCAATGAATGATAATATTGATGTTGAACAACTGAAATGATCATGTATTGTTGGGGAGATAATAAAATGGTGCAATTGTTTGGAAACTGGATTGGCAGTTTCTTAAAAAGTTAGCATACACCTACACTGTATCTCAACAATTTCTCTCCTAGATGTTCACTCAAGAAAATGAAAACATATGCCTTTAAAAAATTTGTATATGAATTCTCATAGCAGCTTTATTCTTAATAGCCTTGAAATAGAAACATCCCAAATGTACCTGAAAAGGAGAATGGATAAACAAATTGTGGTATATTTATTTAATGGAATACTACATGTACTACATACAAATAGGTATCTTTTCCATCCCTATTATTCTATCATTTAATTAGTTCATTTAAAATTAGGCACTTTACTATACTGAGATACCACTTCACATCCATGAGGATGGCCATAACCAAAAAGACAAATAATAACTATTTTCCAGGGTGTGAAGTTGGAACCCTCACACATTTCTTAGGGGAATACAAAATAATACAGTCATTCTGGAAAACAGTCTGGCATTCCTCAAATGGTTGGTTATATATAGAGTTACCATATGACCCAGTAATTCTATTCCTAGGTATATGCCCAAGAGAAGTGAAAACATATATCCACACAAAAATTTGCACATGAATATTGTTGGCAGCATTATTCATAATAGCCCAAAATGGAATCAATTCAAATGTCCATCAATTGCTGAACTGAATAAATAATGTGGTATATGATACAATGGGCTATTACTATTTGGCAATAAAAAGTAATGAAGTTCTGATACTAGATACACCATGGATGACCCTTAAAAACATTACGTTAAGTGAAAGAAACCAGTCAAAAAAGACCACTTATTATATGATTTCATTTATATGAAATGTCCAGAATAGGCAAATGTATATAAAGAGAAAGATTAGTGGTTTTCTACTGCTAAGGGTAGGGGTGGGGGAATGGAGCGTGACTATTAATGGGTAGTAGATGATGAAAATGTTTTAAAATTGATTGTGGTGATGGTTGCACAACTCTGTGAATATACTAAAAACAATTGAGTAGTACACTTTGAAGGATGGATTCATATACTATGTGAATTATATCTCAATAAAGCTGTTTAAAAACTTTTTGAATGTTCTATGTATAGCCAATACTAGATATCAGAAATTTTGACTTATTTACTTTCTTGTGGCCTGACACCAAGACCCTTGCACATTCAACTGTACTTCATTGCCTTCCAGTGTATCATTGTCTGGCTCAGCATAAAGGGTGATTTATTAATAGTTAATCGGAGGGAAATGAACTACATGATCTCCTGGATCTTTTAGATCTATGGATCTGTGTGGATACCAGAAATGGGAAATGGAAGCATTTGTCTAAACTGATGTTGAAAGAAAAACTTTAGACAAATTAAATTTAACAGGGCCTAACTGAACAAAGGATTCAAGAATTTGGCAGCCTTCAGAACCAGCAGAGGTTAGAGAGCTCTGCTCTACAGCGTGGGCAGACAGCATTTATGGGCATAGAATGGAAGTGAGATATAGAAACAGCTTGATTGGTTACAGCTCAGTATTGCCTTATTTGAATGGGTCTGATCGGTTAGCTGTCTGTGATTGATTGAAGCTTAGCTGTTTGCTGTGATTGGCGGAGACACAGCTATCTGACAGAAAAGTATACTCCTAAGGTCGGTTTTCAGTTAGTTTAAATACTAAATTAGGTTGCAGTTCCTTACATAGGGACTCAAAGCACAGAATCCCTCAGGCCAAATTTAGTTTAACACTGGTAACTGCTCTGACAAGTAACAGGTACTCCATCATGGATGCTTGGGTTCAAATCCCAAACACATCATTTGCTATCTATGAAAACTTGGTCAAATTACTAAAACTCTTTGATCTTTGGTTTTCTGACACAAAAATGAGGATAATAATATACCCATATTATAAGGAGTTATGAGATTTTAATTATATGTAGAAAGCTCTCAGCATAGCATCTAACATATAAGTGTTGAGTAAATACTTATACAATTACTGTTTATTTTTATTATTATTATTTACAGTGAATAGATTCTAAGTGCTTTCCTTTTTAGAGTAGTCAAAATATCCTTTATAACTGTTTACTATTTATACTTCACAAGCCCTATTGATGTGTGCTCCTCTCTTAATAGGTACAACATAAGAGATATGATGCAATTCTTAAGCGTTTGCGTTGTCAAGTGAACAAACTTCAGTCACATAGAAGACAATGGCAATGGAACATTCAGCAACTGGAAAACACTGCAGCTGAACTAAGAAAACGCACTGGAATGCAAGAATAACATTGCCATTGGGCAATGTGAAACATAGACCATGCCAACAAAAATTGTGGGACAGAGTGTTGAGAAAATCTTTTTTGTTCTTAATAACAAGCATCCACCATCAGAAGCCTGTCTTAATGACAGATACATTTTTTCTTAATGAGTCATCCATCTTAAAGTGCCTTCCAACTCTACAATTGATAGCAGTATGTAGACGATAGGAATGCTTACAGTAGGCTAGTGAAAGAGACTATGAATATTTTGAGTGTGTAAGATGTATTATAGTCATGAGTGCATGTTTATAACTATGTTGCATTCACTGACCTATGACGTAAAAATTTAGAAGAAAAGAAACACTTGGATTTTCAATGATTTAAATTGTTAAGGTATTTAAAAATGTTTGTTTCAAACTTTTTATTAGAACTTATTTTATTTATGACTGCCTTCACAGTAGCCCATAAATATTGATATTTACAATGATGATTTTATTTATTCAATGCTTCAGATATTCTACTCAGTTTTCTCTTCTATCCAGAAGGCAGCAATCATTTTTCTTTGTTATTAAATGACATATTTTAGAGTCTTCCAATACATAAAATTTTGTTCACTTTTCTGTGTATAAATTATTTATTCCTATTGTTACTAAAGTTATAATATCATGTAAGATAAACTCTTAAGAGTGTTAATTATTGTAGATTAATTTTTTTTTTCTCATTGGAAGGTAAATGCTGTGTCTGTGGCAATAAATCAAATGTTTCTTCTCCCTTTCGAGAAAAAGTGCCCCCTTTCATGGCTCCATTGAGTCAAATACTTATAAACAAAACCAAAATATTAAAGATATGGTTTTAAATATGCACTTACAGGATAAAGTGATTGCAAACAACATCAAAAAGATATTTCAAATCCATTTTCTCCTCACCTTTCTATGTGCATGAGATTTGGTAAGAGTATAGCAGATATAAAACCTGATATTAATAATCTTATTATGTCTAATGTTAATAGTTTTATTATGGCTTATCGTGGCTTACTATGGCTAACACTTCAAATGGTTTATCCTATAACATGATCAGCTTTGGTCTATGACTCAGAAAAATAGCTACAAATGAAAATGTTTAAACCTATCAATTATGGGGAGTACCCACTATGCCTAGCTGAAGACGAAGCTGAACCAAATGCTGATTATAAATACATTTTGATGTAACCTCAGTATTAAAAAGGTTTTCTTGTAGTTACACTTTATCATTCTATTTATAGCTTATAAAAGAAAAATTCTAGCTTTCTAAACTCTTTAATTTTATAATGGGATTCAAAATATTTATACATGGTAACACCTTGAGTTATATTTTTTTGTTTTTCAATTAAGATATAAAGAAAATAAGTTTAATCTGCTTAAGGTAATGTGCCCTGTTTGTGAAGGTAATTTTTAATGTAGTTTTCTAAAATATCCTCACTTATAATACATGTGCCTTTAAAATTTTTTGATAATTAAAAAATTATTTGAAAGAGAAACATTTTTTTTCCTTGTACTTTCTAATCTTGAAAACTATTTCAGGCAATAGAGGCTTTCAGATTAATTAAGAAGAACTAAATCTTGAAGCATCTCCAGCCTAATGGCTTAGTGAGTAAATTGTTTTGTCATCAGGGGCAAAGCCTAGTCCACCTGTCATTCTCTGACCTCACTGGCCTCTGCAGAGATGTAATGCATTCTTGTGGCAAGCAGTATGTTCGATGCTGTACCTGCAGTTGTTTTGTCTAGTCTCTTGTCCAATCACAAGACATCCTCTAGTCCTATCTGTATGCTGGACATGTTTTGTTTTTTGGGACCTGTTATTCTATCCATGCATTCTTTCTCACTCTCTGCTCTCTGGTATAAACTGAGTTCTCAGCACTTTGAACAGCTCAGCAAAAATTTTCTTTCTCAAAATACCCAGTCTTCTGCAAAGGAAAGCAAAGCTATGATGTCAAGAATGTTGTTTCTACCATAGACTTTTTAAAACAGCCTAATACGAAGCTCAAAGCTAACAAATCACTTCTTAATTCTCAGCAGTATCTGGCCTGCTAGGTGCTGTTACCGAAATCTGCGGTCCCTAACCCCCTGGGCCACAGACCGGTACCAAGCTGTGCATCACCTCCTTAGCTCTGTCCTCACCTCCCACCACCTCCCCATTCTTGGAAAAATTGTCTTCCGTTAAACTTAGGAACCAGGTCGCACAGCCAGAGGTGAGTGGCGGGAAAGCAAGCGAAGCTTGCATCGGTGAGCTGTGCCTCCCCGCCCTCCTTCCCGGGGAAAAATTGTCTTTCATGAAACTGGTCCCTTGTGCCAAAAAGGCTGGGAACTGCTAACCTAAATGATGACTAAAAGGAAACTAGTGCAAGGAGGCAGAGAGAGGAAAAAACCTCAGTTCATACCTGAAAATATTACTTACTACATGGGCAATCTGTGGGCAAATTATAGTTGACTAATAGAAAAAAATGATACATATTTTTAAAATACTCTGGAAATCACCAGATCATACACATTAAAGCCAGTCAAGTCCGCCATCATGAACACTTATATGGCTAGCATAAAATGGTCTACATGTTCTCTCAGGCCATGTTTCTTATAGTCAGTTGATTAATCATGCTATTTTCCATTTAATTCCCAAAATAACGGTATAAGGTAAATATTAGTATCCTTCATTTACAAAGGGGGATATTGAGGCTTCTCAAGTTAAGTAACTTGCCTAAGATCTCATCACACAGCTTATCAGGGGTAGAATTGAAATTCAAAGGCCTAGTTTAGCTACATGGCACTATAAGAAAATTATTCCAAGGGTAAGCATCATTTTTTACTATAAATAAGTAATGATTATACATTCGTCATTTTGATAAGATTACAGGGCATACAATAAATTTAATCAAAGTGAAATTTTATTAAAAATAAACAGCACTCAAATGCATTGGTAATACAACATGAGGGTCAGTGCCAATAAAATATTCTGGCCAAGGAAAATGGAATCTTGTTTATAAAAATTGCTTTGGCCTTTTAAGTTCATATAGGAAATTTCAATTAAAATTCTAAGTTTGTATATTATCTTACATTGAATATGGAATTCACTGTTAATCCATAAAGGTTATTAAAGGGCTATTAATAATACTATAACAACTTAGAACTCTTTGGTGGAGGGCAGTGATTCAGAAGAACACATAGTTTTGATTTTTAGCTGCTCATAGTTTAGTTTCTCATATTTTCAATGTTATAAATATTTTATTTTTCATTAACTAAGCTAATGCTTACTAAAGCTAACGATCAGAAGCTAAAAGTTATGTGCCTGTCAAAAATAGTATATAATATTTGAATTTATAATGCATTTCTAGGGGAAGCATTTTTTCTTTGCTAATAAATTTGCCAATATAAGGAATAGGTCTTCTATATCACATTAGCTACCCTATAACACTTTCTCTTGGATGTTACTGAACTATAACCAAAACCAAGAAAAATAAATTGAAACAGATACTAAAAGCGAAATAGATTTATTCAATACATAGCTAAGAATGGGATGCTCCAAATTGCTTTTTCTTTTTCTGTAATGTTCTATTTAAATGATGGCTGCGAGCTCTAGATCTTTAGAAAAATAAAAATAGCATATGATTTGGTAATGACAGGGTTGCTGTTTACATAATCCAGTGAAGACAGACATGAAGTAATGAGACTTCAGCCTCTTAATTAATCAGATGATGTATTCCAAAAGCAAAACCAGAGTTCATGTGATAAATACTTTTAAAAGCCTTCTTACCCAAAACCTCTCTGGCATAAAAACCATGTCAAAACTGGAATAAAACACTTAAATTACAGATAATTGTCGGCATTGCTCAATCACATAGCACAAGGTAATTCAGAGGCAGTGGTAATACACTGCCAATCTAAGATAAATTTTTAAATATTTTTTTGTCCAAAATAAATGAGTCAAGACACATCATCCATTTTATCTGCTATTCTTGCTCCCCCAGACATTATTTTACATGTGTAATCCCTAAGCTTTTATTGGAGAAGCTTCTTTAAGGTATTTTCCAGACTGTTTCTCCCTGAATCAATAGGGCTTCTTTGTGTATGTAACATGGAAAAACAAAACAAAACAGCAAGCCTACAATTTGCATGAGTTGTTTCGTCTGCAGTGACCTTGTGTTAACTGACTTATGCACAGTGATCCAGCCAAATGTAAACACATCTTCTTGGCAAAAAACATCACTTGATTTTCTCTTCATCCACCTTCTTCTACAGAGACAAGTGTCATTCCTGAAGATGAGACCTCTCTGAGAACACTTCCATCCTTTAGATGTAATATTGGCTTTGCTGGACAGTTAGATAATGTTGATAGTATTTTAATTTTAATGTGTGGTTCATACATATTTGTATAAAACATTCAACTATTAGAATCCATCCTTTTTCTAATATTCCACTTCTTTAGATTATTCATCTTCTAAACCTTCCAGTTGCAATTAATCTGTAAATGTAATTTACTCACACACATTTTCCTAATAATAAGTGTAATTCTCTCATATTTCTTTCATCTCTTTCCATCAAAAATGCCACTTCCTCATTCATACCTTAGCTCTTTCAGTCCCTGCGCAGCCGTAAGTTGCATCATCTTGAGGCTCCAATGCTCATTTTTGTTGTAACTCCAAAGCTTAGTCCACTGCTCTCAAGTTAGATCTCAATCATTGAAGATAATCTCTTCATTTATAACTGTTTTATGCCAGAGAAAATATTGTTTCTTTATTTTGAAATGCCTCACAAAGAAAAACTTTCCCTGAAACATTGTGTAATAGACACAGTCAATGCTCTGCCCAGATCCTCTCAGATCTTTTTTTTTAATTCTTTTGAGTAGCGCTCTCCCAATTAAGGCACACTTCTGCCTCTAATAGATCTTACCTAAGACTTTCTTTGGGAGGTTTGCAACCCTCAAAAGACTATGCTTGATATTGTAGCCTTGCTTGGATTTTTTTCTCCTTACCAGTCTTGCTTCCCTTACCAATTTCTCCTGGGAAGACTTCAATAATAAATCACTTGCTCAAGAATCCTCATCTCAGAGTCTGCTTCTGGGCATCCCAAACTAAGTCACCTTGCAAAATTAATCAGACATTGAAATCTCTATTTTCAAGAGATGCCTATTGTTCTACTTCTGTTCGTCCCTCACCCCAGACCCAGATCAATTTCACTCCCAGCAGCAGCCAAAAAAAAAAAAAAAAAAAAAAAAAAAGAAAGAAAAGAAAAGGAAGGAAAGAAGGGAGGAAAGAAGCAAGGAAGTAAAAAGGAAGAAACTTACCACCTTTGCCTTTGAAATATAATCACTATCCTATTTGGTATAATTTTGATATGATTTATTTGCTTTAAAGAAAGGAAGCCAAAAGGCACAAATTTTATT